TGAGACGATTGGTACAATTATAGCATTCCTTCTTTCCTACTTAGGAATTTTTGAAAATTGAGTGTTCACCTACCGCTCGCAACTTTATCCTTAAGTTTACCCTGCATAAAAAATACAGTAAATTGGCAATTGAGTAACAATTTGAAGGCTTAAACGGTTGAGTTTTTGCTAGTAAATGAGGCGATTGTTACGATTTTAGCCTTCCTTCTTTCCTACTTAGAAATTTTTGAAAATTGAGTGTTCACCTACCGCTGACAACTTTATCCTTAAGTTTTCTCTGCATAAAAAATAGAGTAAATTGACAATTGAGTAACAATTTGAGGGTTAAACGGTTGAGTTTTTGCTTTTAAATGAGGCGACTGCTTCGATTTTCGCTTTCCTTCTTTCCAACTTAGGAATTTTTGAAAATTGAGTACCTACCGCTCGCAACTTTATCCTTAAGTTTAGTCTGCATAAAAAAATAGAGTAAATTGGCAATTGAGTGACAATTTGAGGGTTTAAACGGTTGAGTTTTTGCTATTAACTGAGACGATTGGTACAATTTTAGCATTCCTTCTTTCCTACTTAGAAATTTTTGAAAATTGAGTGTTTACCTACCGCTTGCAACTTTATCCTTAAGTTTACTCTGCATAAAAAATAGAGTAAATTGACAATTGAGTAACAATTTTAGGGTTTAAACGGTTGAGTTTTTGCTATTAACTGAGACGATTGGTACAATTTTAGCATTCCTTCTTTCCTACTTAGAACTTTTTGAAAATTGAGTGTTCACCTACCGCTCGCAACTTTATCATTAAGTTTACTCTGCATAAAAAATAGAGTAAATTGACAATTGAGTAACAATTTTAGGGTTCAAACGGTTGAGTTTTTGCTATTAACTGAGACGATTGGTACAATTTTAGCATTTCTTCTTTCCTACTTAGGAATTTTTGAAAATTGAGTGTTCACCTCCCGCTCGCAACTTTATCCTTAAGTTTTCTCTGCATAAAAAATAGAGTAAACTGGCAATTGAGTAACAATTTGAGGGTTTAAATGTTTGAGTTTTGGTATTAACTGAGACGATTGGTATAATTTTAACATTCCTTCTTTCCTACTTAAGAATTTTTGAAAATTGAGTGTTCACCTACCGCTCGCCACTTTATCCTTAAGTTTACTCTGCATAAAAAATAGAGTAAATTGTAAATTAAGTAACAATTTGAAGATTTAAACGGTTGAGTTTTTGCTATTAAATGAGGCGATTCCTACGATTTTAGCCTTCCTTCCTTCCTACTTAGGAATTTTTGAAAATTGAGTGTTCACCTTCCGCTCGAAACTTTATCCTTAAGTTTTCTCTGCATTTAAAAATATAGTAAATTGACAATTGAGTAACAATTTGAAGGTTTAAACGGTTGAGTTTTTGTTATTAACTGAGACGATTGGTACAATTTTAGCATTCCTTCTTTCCTACTTAAGAATTTTTTGAAATTGAATGTTCACCTACCGCTCGTCACTTTATCCTTAAGTTTTCTCTGCATAAAAAAATAGAGTAAATTGACAATTGAGTAACAATTTGCGGGTTTAAACGACAATTGGTACAATTTTAGCATTCCTCCTTTCCTACGTAGGAATTTATGAAAATTGAGTGTTTACATACCGTTCGTCAGTTTGCCCTTAAGTTTTCTCTGCATAAAAAAATTTAAAAAAAAATTGCTAAATGAGGAACAATTGGAAGGTTGAAACGGTTGAGTTTTTTCTATTAAATGAGGCGATTGCTTGAATTTTAGCTTTCTTACTTTTCTTCTTAGGAATTTTTGAAAAATAGTTGTCGACTTAAAAAAATTTGGAAATTACGTGTCTGGGCGAAACGCAAAGAGCTAAATGGAGGTTATACAGAGAATCACGGAATTTAATCTTGATGAAAATGCAGAGAGAATTCACCGAATTAAGTGGAAAAATGAGGTCACTGAGACCTGGAGTGACGAATTATCACAATCTCCGTGTTTGGGCGCATAAACATCTTGGACCAATTCGGTCACGGTCATTTCAAAAATAATTCTCAGTAACCGAGAATCCAAAAGTGAATTTTATTTTCGAAAAAGCAGTGGGTTTTTTCCGTCGAAAGCATTCATCTGAAACACCTTCCATTTCCTTTAAGAGGCTTCGAATATCGTTTCCCACGAAAGCTCATATTGGTTTCCGTTCTGTATTATTCCCCTAAGTTTCCGCTCTGAAAACTGAACCAAAAACACTTGATTTACAGGCGGAAAAGTGGTCAGAAAACTGGTGAAAATATTGAGGATCTAAACCTCAAGTGCGTGGGAATAAGGCGTGAAAGGGAATAATTGTGTAACTTTTTCTAGATAATGACGATCTGCAGGTCGTAGCCTTACACACATCAGAGCCATTGTCGCAGCCGAAGGCCCTCAACATGATGGCTGAAGAGCATTACGAAGCCAACTTTCGACCGACACCACTACCTCTATCTACATCACCAACGTAAGTAGCCTTCATATTTTTTCAGCTTGTATCAGTTTGAAAAGCAATCTATTCAAAACACTTTAACCAACAGTTCAAACAACAGCTTCTGGATGAAGAACTCGACAACACCCTTGTCTGCGGAGGAGCCGCGAGGCCGAGCCCTGAACTTCACTCTTCATGCAGCCCATGACGGAAATAATCTTCCAAATATGACCGCCAGTCATGATGAGTTCGATCTCAGCGATGTCACCATTCTGGACGGCGATGAAGATGGCATGGAAGAAATGCTTAGCCCCAAGATTCTGGCGCCAGTTCACAGAGTGGAGAACAAAGGCTTCAACGTATCGGCCGGTAAGAGAAGCTAAATAGTAGTAGGCAAAAACTCGTCAATTCTTATTAGGGGTGTTTTTTAAGGAATTTGCGAGAAGGGAGGCCTCACATACGACAACGGCGAAACACTGCAACTGGGCTGTGACTCGACTTGCACGTGCAAGAATGGAAAACTGAACTGCGAAGACCGATGCAAAGGACCGTTCATTCGGAAAGGCAAACGCATTGAGGATCCGCTTTGCTCAGAAAAGGCATCAGACGACCCATGTTGCTCAGTGTTGGTGTGTGCCGGAGATACAGGTAGGTAAAGCACACCAAACAATTGTATTGTTTGGTGAAGATGGAACTTTGTAGAGACCGAGCCCTTGGAGATGTGCTCGTTTGGCAACAAGACATTCAACAGAGGCGACACGTTCAACAAGGAGTGTCTGGAGGTTTGCATTTGCGAAATCGCCGGCGAAATATCTTGTAAACCGAGGTGAGTAAAGGAAGTAAGTTTTCAAATTGATACCCTGCATATCTTCGATCTGGCAATACGATTTCGAACCAATAAAACTTCAGGTGCGCTCCAGTCAAGAAGACTTCAGAAAGCTGTGTGGAAATTCCAGACCCCAACGACTCTTGCTGCAAGAAAGTGTTGTGCGATGTCACCTTGGATGACCATCAGGAACACGAGAAAGAAGAACTGATGAAGCCGACGAAGCATAAAATACTGTCCGCAACCCAAGTGAATGCAAGTGTTATTTTCTTGGAAATTGAGCCCGAATTCGACGAGGATGCCCATAATTTGCCAGTGGTGGGTAAGTGGCTACTTCCAATAAGTGTTGCAAAAATAAGGCAGCAAATATCTTCAGAGGTGAGCAGCGACAAGGAGCATTGGAACTACTACCAACTGCTGCCCAAAGGTGAGCTCTTTGTTAAGCAACCAGGCAAGTTCGTCCGCTTGGAAAACTCCGAAGAAATCGTCACGGTGAAAGAAATGGTGGAAGAAGCGAAAGAGGTTGAACCGGAAAAAATGAGCGATGGTTGTGCCTTCAAAGGCAAAACATTCACCAACGGAGAGGAGTACCATGATGGGTGTGAGTCGTTGTGCAGATGCCACAGCGGAGAGATGAAATGCCTAAAACTGGAGTGTCCCACCTACTTTGGGGTCGATGTGATCGGTGAGTGTGAAGCAACAGTCGCCGCATTTGAAGCGAGGTGATTTTTAACCTCGCCAGCAATCTTCCAGATCCAGGCTGCATCGATTGGGAAACGATTCCAATGCACTTTCAACCATCGCCTCCGAAATGTTGCCCGGATCAGGTGCGATGTAAAAACAACGGGTCTTGCATGCACCAGAACAAACTGTACAAGAACTGGGAACAGCTGCCGATCAACGTAACTGGATGCGAAAAAAGGTGACTGATATACAGGGTGCGCAGTTTTAAATAAGCAGCCATTTTGAGACCAATTTTTTTAAGCTGGCAAAACTAGCGATTTTGGGAGATTTTTCTTACTATTTCACCATACCCCGAATCAAGTGTTTTCTAACGATTGGAAACATTTTCAATTGATACTTGCTTTAATTCGGAATATGCGAATTTTTAAACAAAAATGCGCACTTGGATGTTAATATTCGTTTTGAGATCCACTTTAACAAAGCTGGCAAAAATCAGGCTTAGGGGCAATGTTTTTCAC